GGGGGGGGCGGGGAGGGAGAGGGGGAGGGAGGAATTGACGACCGTCTGTTTGTCATTCAGAGGAGGATGGAGCAAGCATACTCGGTGATTCTGCTTAGAGTTTGGCCATATGGCACAAGTTACATCCAGGACGCAAGGAATCTGGTCACCCATGACATATATCATGATGAGAACGATACGAGAGCGTCATAGTAAGGGAATAGCGCACCCTGGATTAATCTACCAGGCTACCGTATGGGATCTTTTCTGGATGGGAACAGTGCGGCGTCTACTTCGTCTTCGTCCACTTCGTCTACCGTCTGAATCTCGCGGAGTGGATGGCTTTAACATTTTGACCCCTTCTCACCTCATACTTACTCAGAACCCAGCCATTCTGGCTGCAACCACACACTCTGTGCACCGCCATCCTCTACAGCTATTAGCATGAATGTGACCAGGTCGCCAGCTCCACTCATCCTCTTTCCCTCCACTCCGTCCATCGCTCCTGCTTGATCATAACGACTGCCGCCGCTCCCACCCGCTCGGTGCACGAGATGCTGCCTTCCGACTGTAACTTAGCAGTTCTTCCATAGGAGACCGAAAATGAGGCTGAACTTTAAGTCCGACGAATTGAGCCCAACCACGGCCTTGCTGCCCTCCACGCTGACCACAAGCTTGATGTTGAGGTTAGGCGTCACGTTGCACTTGCTGTAGACAAGCGTAAGGAAACTGTCGGTGATCTTGAAGTTCCCGGTCTGAGGGCCGGGGAATGTGCGCGTTATCGTGGGCGTACCAGGTTGGCCGGAGAAGTAGAACTGCGTCTCGTACACGCCCTTGGAGCCCTTGGCGATGTCGAGGAACCCGCTGCCGGTGACCGAGCCCAGCGTGACACTCCAACCACGTGGATAATCCAGCGACAAGGAAAGCTGGCAGAACTTTCTCAGACCCTTCGAGCCCGCATCAGTGGTGGCAATCATATTGTCGAAGACCAATGTGATGGAGGAGTAGTCGGGAGAGAGCGCGATGGTTGAGTCGCTGTAGCTGCAGCCGCTGCCGGCGAAAATGATCGAGCTAATGGTGAGCTCCGGCGCGCCTGCGAAGGCAGGCGTCACAGCACTCAGGATCGTCACGACGGACAAAGCCGCCGTGACCACCATCGCCGGAAACAAACTGCGCGCCATCGCTCTTGTCCTCGAAAGGTGCAGCTTCAGCACGCCGTTCGACGGGATGGTAATCTCCGGCTTGATCTTCTGCCTCTCTTCGCCGCTGAAGATGCAGGAGGAGGAGCTCTATCGACCAGCAAGCGGAGCGATCGTGCAGACAGCGATGTCCCACGACACTGAGCGTCGGATAGAGACTCTCCCGTCCGCTCCTACTTCGAGAGCGAGCCTTGATTGGAAACTGTATACTACTTGCCGCCAGGGGCCCCGTCTGTGTATATATATACACTTGCGGCCTAACCCTGGACGTGTTCCGTCAAAACGATCACTGAGAAAAGCAAATAAATGAAAACAAGCAAATAAAAGCAATAAATGACAAACATTGGGTAATCCGAGAGCCTAGCTCAGTGGGTACACCCATGAACTGTTGAAAACATAGACGCGTGTCCGAATCCAGATGGATGAGTGAAGTTGTAAAACCAACTCTTTCACTGAATTGGCTGGGGCCGGTCAGCTTGATGACGATATCTCAAGGCCGTTGCCCTTTCGAAAAAAAAAAAAAAAAAAAAAAAAAAAAGAACATGGGGTAGCCTCCCTTTAGAAATGTTCTATGTTATGCCAGCCGCCTAGTCGCTGGCCCAGCTCCCACTTGTCCCAACTGTTTATTCCACACCGTAGATTTCATAGGTAGACGACCGGATATGGACAACTCTGGCGTGTGGGACCGGGCCCCGGAAAAAGTTCAAGGCTAACCACCCCACAGGACGGCCTTTCAGGCCATTTTTACTGTGTCATTAGGGTAAGATCCCACTACCCTGGATTATTCATTATTTACCCTCGATTACGAAGATCAACGGTCAGAAATGAACAATTGGGGCTAGTGGGATCTGGCCCTTATACGTCCAGAACAGTGAGACGGTGTGCATTTCTGCCAAAAAAGAAAAACATTCTGAGGACATCCGTCTTTTCTTTTTTCTTTTTTCTTTTTTCTGCACTACCCGTCGTCACCAGAATAGAACGCCCGGTCATTATCGCCGCATCTGGACTGAAAGATGGGCCAAATGCAGCTATAATGACCGGGCGTTCTACTCGAGCGGAGACGGTAGCCTGCATCCTCTGAATACCGTTTTCTGAAATCCTTGGGCAAGGATGCACAACCTATCCAAGGAGAGATTGGTTGATGGATGATCTGCTGCTGGCAAATTGGTACAACGGCTCTGCTCTGCTCCCCACGAAGACAAGAAGGAAAGACTGGACGCTATGCGCAATTGCTACCATGAGGACCTCACTCTGGAACGAACAGATACCGGCAGCGGGGTGGATGCTTTTCCGGGGCAAGGTCCCACTTGCACGGATTAAGAGATTCTGGCCGTTGATATTTGCTATCTACGGTCAATATCGCGTAGTTCCTGTAAATGGGACCTAGCCCCCGGAAATATGCACACTATTGGGATGGGGGGAAAAGGCAATTAAGGACTAGTACGGGTCCTTTGGAGATAAGAGCCGAGAAATGGGCAGTACTTGGGCGGGAACCATCTGGCGGATGAAGCAGAATACCGATACGAAATGGGCGGCCTGGCTGTGTCTCGTCACATTGTATACAGAACCTAGGGCGCTGAGATACCCTAAGGAAGCGTTCATTGCAGGAGTGCACTTCTCTACCCTGAGTAGGACAAGGTCATGGTGTTTTTTTTCGTGATAATCGTCCTATGAGAGTAAAGCCCTCATTATTATGATGATAAATTTTGTGTTATCTACAATACATAAATGGACACGAAGATTAGCATAGCCCCTTCGCAAGGATGACACGCGTAAATCCAGAAATGGTCCAAATTATTTTTCAAAACAGAGTAAAAACTTCAACGTATGCTGGCGGGCACAGAGCGAGAGCGAGCCAGAGAGCGAGCCACAGACAGACACAAAGTCCGACGAAACAGTCCGGCACAGTCGGGCTTTTTTTTAGTGTATAGAGAATATGACAACACACACACACACACACACACACACACACACACACACACACACACACACACACACACACACAGAGAGAGAGAGAGAGAGAGAGAGA